TAATAATAATAATAATAATAATAATAATAATAATAATAATAATTAGCTTATTTGTTAGTCTGACTCTTCTGTTATTTTCTTTTTTTGTCTACAGCTGTCTTGCTTATTTCAGTTGTTAGTTATTCCATATCTGTGCTTCAGGCTTTGTAAATTGCATCTGATTCAAACAAGAATCGGATGATATGTGTTGGAACTAGGGCTGAGCATGGGACTCGGAGAATTCCAAACAGTTCCGAAAACCGAACCGAAGTTCTATTGAAGTTATAATGATAGTTCTAGAGTGTGAGCTTGAGGAAGAGAATTTGAATCCAAGGAACAGAAACAACTTAATGAGAATGATACTGACTTTGAGTCGGATGAAAAGCATGTAGTGGAGAATAATGAAGAAGATTTTTTTTACTTCACAACATTTCATAGTTATTTGTTCTGAGTAGTTTGTTTGTTTTAATTTGTTCAAGAAATATTGTAATAGACTAATCATGTCGTCATGTTTTTTCTTTTTTTTTTTTAGCATTTGTGATTGACATTACTCAGTGCTGACATTACTCAGTGCTGCACTTGTGGCCATGTGGGGCATTTCTTTTGAATATTGGAAATGAGATGTGTAGAATTGTAAGTACGATTAATTTCATTTTTTTTTAGTTTTCTTATTTATTATTAAAGTGGGCTTGGATAAATAAACTAAAAATTAAGGTATTTTTGCCACATATAAAACTCTAGCATCTACTCATGAGTTATACATAATCTTCAAACTAACTTAAAAGGCGAACCAGAGATTTATAACAAACTCTAGCTTCCTAACTAGATAGTCGCTTCTGAAACTCATTTAATTATAAAAACTATATTAGCAAAAATCACATTTGAAACTGATGAGTAAAGTAACATAATGGGAAAGTCACAATCGAAGGATGAGAAGAATAAAGTCAGTAAACTTCCAACAAAAAAAATCAACCAATGTATGAGTAAGTGACGAATATGTACATGCTAAACATAATTCTAAATTACATATTATGTCCAGATCTGAATTTAAGTTAACTGAGAACATCAATCAATGTAGATAAGAATAGCAAGGTTAGCATGAGGTTATGTTCAACTCTCAAATATGCAAAGCAGCAAATTTTGGGATGAAATGCACGTAACGTATAAGTTCAGAGCTTACCAATCTCATTGCTAGCTTTTGCTGAAGCAGGGTACAAAACTGTGCATCTTGGATTCCCGTTATCCGGTAGCTCAACTGCCAAAACCTTGCCAATAGCTGAGATTGCAAATTCAAGTTACTTGCTTTTCTTTCTTTTCCAACCAGGACATCTCAACTCTGTTGTTATTCATTATGTAAAAGTCTGGAACTAGCTTTAAACACCTTTTGATGGCGCAAAAGCCACGTTCAGGCTTTGTCTCAGAGACGGCTGAATTTTTTCAAAAACACATGCGGTACCAGCTCCAACAACTCCAACAGTAACTTTTGGTGTACCTGCAGCTCTGTGAACCAAAAGCTTTTGAGTCTGAACTATCATCTTAATTCATTTATATAAGTAGCAGTTAGAAAATTTCTTTAAAAGAGACAACTGTAAATCAGTTTGAGCTGAAATGGTCCGAAGATGTCATGGTTAGATATCTTCTCTAACTAAAAGGTGCATGGCGTACAGTTCTTCCAAGGAAGAAGCGCCTCAGGATTTTATGACTTTATAAGGTTAAAACAATCATATTACAAGACTAACAGCAGGATCGACACAAAGTGCAATTCACATAGCGCAATTAGATAGATTTTCCCCAAACCAACTAGAAAAATTAGCAAATTTTGCTAGTGGTGTTATGGAAGATAGCTTGTGAGTGCAAGACCCATGCTGGCAATAATAGAGAAATGAATAAGACTCATACAGACCTAAGGCTACAAGATAGATATTATAAAAACCAAAACTTCCACCAATATGAAAAGTGGGCCTTTGTAGAGTGATACATTGTCAACTAAAAAGTTCTCCACTGAACTGAAGGCAAGATTACTGGTCAAACCTGTTCGATGAAATAAATCTAATAACTAGTTGTAACATGAAAGGTAGACGAAGACACCTTATAGATCCTAGTTTTAAGCTTGGATCAAATTAA